AATCAAAAAGATAAAGTTTGATCTGCAAATAATAATATATCATAAAAATTTGGATATTGAAATTTAATCTTTGTTGAGTTTAATAAGTAACAACAAATAACCCAGCAAACTTTTTTTTTTTTTTCAAGTTGATTAAGGTGCCCCAAGAAGTCCTTACGGTCTTATCACAGAGCACCGCGGATGAGCATTTTAATAGAAAGTTCACTCCTCCTTCCCAATCGATGTCGCAAAATGCCCAGAGGTGGAGTTTGAACCACGGATCTTTCGTTTCTGAGACAAGTGCGCTACCACTGCGCCACGGCTGCTCGTATTTCTGGCACTGTCCAATAGAATTATTTAAGAAGTGTTTTTTCGAGCTTAAAGAAATGGTAAGTGTTCAAGTCACGGAATTTAACACTTACAAAGCACAAAAGCAACAGATACTAAATGAGTTAAGAAGTTTTATCGAAAAACTCAACAAGGGTAATGAAAAATTAATGAAAAGAGTTGAAGAATTAGAAAATAATAATCAGGACCTACTTACGCAAAAGTAACATAAGCAGACTAAGTAAAAAAATCTCCCAAACAAATGCTCATAATAAATACTGTTGCTGGCGAAACGAAGGAACAAGAAAAAAGCTTCCGACAATGAAGACAAAAGCAAAGCTAAAGGAGACGACAAAAAGACTATTGAAAAAGTTATTACAAATTGCAAGTTAAAGTTATCATACAAAGTATTATAAAGTTAAAATCAAACAGTGACAAACAAGTCACTAGTTTTTTATAGTTATACTAAAAGATAAATTTGAAAGAAATTCAATATTAAAAAAAGCAAAAGAATTACGTGACTCAAAAGAGTATGAAAATGTTTTTATCAATCCAGACTTAACAGAAACAGAAAGATGTAAGTCCAAATTATTGAGACAAGAATGTAGAGTAAAAAATAATAAAAACAAAGAGAGAGAAGATTTTTATTATGGTATCCGAAAAGACAAAGTGATAAAAATAAGATAGCCATGAAAAAACATTAAAAACTCAATTAAATCACCAAACAATGATTCAGCTCAAGTAAATTTAATTTTTAATATAAAAAGTGAGAGGGTTCAATTTCAAAGTAAATTGAATACAATAAACGTTCATACAACTCATAATTTGAGTATTTCAAGTAAACTGAGTTATTAAAATATTTATACACAAATGCAACATTACTAGAAAGAGACAAATTAGATAAAATTATTGTTGAAATAAAAGTAAAAAAGCCAGAACTTAATTTTATAACAGAAACATGGTAAAATAGTCCATCAATAACAAATGTACCAGGTTATAATTTTTACTTCAAATAAAATAAGCGCTTTTGAAATAAAAGACAATGTGCTCAATAACAAAGAAGAACAAATATGGTGTTTTTTTTTTTTGTATGTATTTAGTTGCTCCCAGAAGTCTTTACGGTCTTATCATAGAGCACCGCGGTAGAGCATTTTACAAGAAGTTCACGCCTCCTTCCGTACCAATGTCGCTTGTTGGGCTAGAGCTGGCGTCGAACCTCGAACCTCTGTGTTCTGAGCCAGAACTCTAACCACTGCGCCACGGCTGCATAAATTTGTGTTTTATTAAAGTAAGTTTTTTATTAAAGTAAGTGGTAAGTTTTATTAAGTAAGTGTTTTATTAAAGTAAGTGGTGAATTTATATTATGCGGTTGTATATACAGACCAGAAAACAATGATCTTAAAAACTGTCGTCATTTAACTAGTTCTATCAAAAGAAGTTATGAATATTTTATTAAGAACAAAAAATACAGCGATGTCTTGATTTGTGGCGATTTTAATTTTCCATCTTTAAATTGCATATGGAACAACGAGTATCAAAGTATTAGTATCGGACCGAAAGAGTTATTTATCGATCATATTTAAAAAACTTACTTAACGCAACATGTTATAAAACCAACATTTCAGCTAAAATTAAATGATTATACAAATATTCTAGATCAAATATTAACAAAAAACCCATTTCGAATATCAAGTTTAGTTCACACTGAGTCTTTAGGTGACACCCAAAGAGGTCATCAAGTTTTGAATTTTAACTACCATGCCAAATGATCAAATGGAATATAGAATTCAAAATTTTAGATGTCAGTCAGAGTTATTTAAAGTGTATTAATATTTACGAAAAGGGTTGCGATGAATGTATGCCTAAATTAAAATCAAACACAATAAATTTCAGAAGCAATAAAAGATCTTTATGAATAAATGCACAACTTAAGCACGAAATAAGGCTAAAGAGAAACCTTTAGTATCGTTACAAAATATCAGATTTTAAAAATAAAGAACTAAATCATAAATATAAAACAAAAATTAAAAGAGTAAAAAAAACTTGTTAAAAGTAGCATAAAGACAAACGAAAAAAAAATTGCAGTAGAATCAAAACAAAATCCAAATCAAATTTATGCCTATATCAATAGTAAACTTAAAGTTAAGGACCATATAAGATCACTTATTACCAATAAAAACGAGTTATCTAATGATGTACAGTTTATAGCAAACTATTTAAACAGGTTCTTCTGTTCCGTATTTACAGATGAAAATCCTAAAGTTATTCCATTATGTGAAAGTGTAACTGATATAGCAAACAGATTATCTAATCTTAATGTAAACAAATCTCTAGGAAGTGATAAAGTTCACCCATTAGTCCTAAATAATTGTAAAGAAAGTCTTAGTAAACCGTTATGCATTATTTTCAACAGATCGCTAGATTCGGGAACACTACCAGAACTTTGGCTTGAAGCAAATATTACACCATAGTTTAAAAAAGGAGATCGCTAAAAGGCTGACAACTACAGACCAATCTCTTTAACCTCGATTGTAAGCAAGCTAATGGAAAGTTTTTTCAGAGATACAATAATGAAACATCTTATTGATAAAAATTTAATAACCAAAAACTAACATGGTTATATAAAAACAAAAAGCTGCATTACAAACCTTTTAAATCGGTTGCACATAGAAGATTAATTCTCATATTGGAGTCAATCGGTATAAAGGTGTTATTACCTAATTGGTGTGTCGTTTATGAATAACGGAAAACAAAGAGTAATTCTAGGAAAATTTGTATCAGAATGGGACTGTAAAGTGGAGTACCGCAAGGATCAGTTCTTGATCCTTTACTTTTTGTAATTTTCATCAATAATCTAACACAGGGTTTAAATAACAAAGCTAAATTGTATACAGATGACACAAAAGGGATAGCAAAAATAAATAAAAATGATAAAAATTCGCATAAATAAGCTTATTAGCCATTTAGTCGAATGGTCGACTAAATGGCTAATAAGCTTTAATAGTGATAAATGCAAGATAATGCACATAGGTCATGATAACCCAAAAAATAAATACACACTAAAGTGCAATACTGAAGAACTAGGAACCTTTAGAAAAAATCTTTAGGAGACCGTTAGAACGAGACTTTGGTGTATATATTTCAAATGATTTAAAATGGGAACATCATATTGAGTCTATTGTTAACAAAGCTAATAGTAAGTTGGGTTTATATAATAAAATACGCGATTAACTATATCGACAAAAATACTATGAAACTATTATACATATCACTTGTGCGACCTCACTTAGAGCATTCATTTCAAATATGGAACCCATACTACGTTAAATATATTAATTGTATAGAAAGAGTGCAAAAATGAGCAACTAAAATTTGTTTCACAGAAGTTATTAATTATGAACAAAGGCTACAAAATATGAAACTTTCAAAATTGGTTGATATAAGGTTGCAAGATGATCTAATTCAGATGTTTAGATTTCAAAACAATATGGATAAAATAAACTGGCATAACAAACCTGAAAATATAACTAATACTACGAGAGGACATAATCAGAAATTAGGAAGACAATATGTAAACTCACTTATTTAACTTAGTTGTTTTGGTGCGCTGATACTTGAGTGCTTTATAATGAGGACTTATGCTTAATATTTTAAACTAAATTTTAGTTATTGTAAAACTGTAAAAATAATTTGTTTTAGTTACTTACATTACCTAGCTTATTTATTACTGATTTGTTTGTATTTTTACCTATATATGCAATAACATAAGCACCGCCATAAAACCAAACCCATGATTTTTCCTAATTATGAAGTTTTTCAGTTGTAATAGCCAAAAAGGGAGAGGCTCTGCTTTTTTACACATTGTCTCCTCAATAAATAAATGATTTTGTAAAACAAACAAATAGTATATGATTTACTAATAATTGGATGTAGTAGAGTCGCCTCTTATGTGTTTCAAAAGTGTTCCAACAGGTTTTGATAAACGTCTTATATTAACTAAATTTTACTCCACAAAAAAAAATCAAAAAAAAAAACCACCTGAGTCCAAACTCTTCACCAACAATGTTTGGTTGTCCCAGTAATCATTTATTCTTTGTATTTATTTGTTATTACTTTTTTGATAGTTCGCATTGTAACCCAAAATGCTTTGCGCGTTTAATTGTAAGATCTGTTTATAGACACGCAATCCTTAGCTATTACAAACTTGTTGTTAAAATATACAAATAATCACATTGCTTTAATGTGAATATTTCAATAATTGAAGTCATATAAATTATACAAAAAATAACAGACCATTGTAAAAATATTCATTTAACTGCATACATTTACATAATATATTATTAAATATACATTTAACTTCATTTTATTGAAGAAACATATAATTATGTAATTTGTTGAAATATACAAACAATTAAAAAAAACTCTCAAAATGTACAAACATATATATATATATATATATATATATATATATATATATATATATATATATATATAATATATATATATATATATATATATATATATATATATATATATATATATATACTACGCAGCTCATAAATATACACCAAGTTACTATTGTATAAGTACAATAACATTATTAAATATGAGAATAATCGCATAATAATTGTAAAAAAATTCAATTAATAACTATTAATTTCAGAATTATATAAATAATTGAATTATTTATAAAAGTAATTTAATAACTGTTGTAGAATTAACACTTTTCAATGCATATATTTAATGGTTGGTAAATAAAATATATTAACATTATGTTGTATGTATATATAAAGATGAACGACAGATGAAAAAAAAAATATATATATATTAAATTTAACACTTTTGATTTTAACTTATTATTTCAAAGTTCTTTAATAAATCACGGCAATGTCTATGTTTTAAAAACCATTATTATTTAAATTATTTATATTAGATCTTTTTTTGTGTATGTATATATTTTCTTGATTGTTAAATCGCGTTTTAAATTTAACATTTTACATATTTTTACACCATTTACCAGTCATTCTAAAATCCATCAATTTAAAACCCGTCAAATAAATCATTTATAGAGACATGATCTCCGAAAACTCGTCGCTTTTGTTATAATATCTTTTCTTAAGGTTAAACAGTCTCACATAATCTTCCCGATGATTTTGTGTTAGTTGTTCAGCAACAGCATTGAATTTTGTACGAAAATTAGAAACCAATTCTTCGATATCATCTGTGATGTTTACTAAAAAAGAACAATTCAAACTATTTCATTAAAATGCAAATTGAAAAGTGTTATTAAATAACCCCAAGATTGTAACACCTGTAAAATTTTCTATAATAACGAAAAACGTTGTAACATACTTAAATTTTAAAATTTTTATGGACTTACATTTGTTATGGATTTTATTCTTTTTACTTTGTTTTATGAAATCCATGCACAAACCAAAAATGGTCATTAGACATAAAAGTATACCAAGACATATTAGCGAGGTTTTGTATTGTGAAGATTTGGTGTACAAATATGCAATCGTCTCCTGTGTGTTCTCAGTTTTAAGCGCCTTTTACACAAAAAAATATTTGTTTAAAAATGATGCACATATATACACACACCACAACACATACACACGCAAAGGCGACTCTACGAATAAAATGAGGAGAGGGTTGGTGGGTGTTGGAGAGGAGGATTAATCCTCAAAAATTCCTGACTGACTCCTTAAAAACTTATTAAAAAAAAGGAACGTCTTTCAAACTAAAATTTGCCCGACTAAAATGTCTCAAATACCCGACTAAGCGATTATGTTCCTCAAAAAAACCGAGTATAAACTGGGGTGATACACTCTCCCGCACCATCTCCCCTAAAGTCGATTCTGTACACACGCACACACTTAATCTAATGGTTTACAAAAAAGTAGACAATTTTACGCTGTAAACAGTGGTAAAATCACTGTATAAAAAACATAAATGATTACATTATTTACTATGACATTATTATATAAATCAATTTTTCGTTTATGATGAGTAAAGAATAAACTTCAATTAAAAATAAAGTTTTGTCATTTAAATCTTAACACTATCTTGATTCACTTTTTTTGTTAGAAACTGAGTTCAAATATGCATAATTTTTGCAAATGGGATCTTGGGGCGGTTTTGCAAAAGTTTTTTTTGTTTATTTTGGATCAGTTCTTAAAACATTTTTTGGACATTAAATGCGTGTGTATGTGTTATAGTATGTATGTATGTAAAAAATAATTTGACTAATTTAAAAAAAAGACCTTTAAACTTTCTGGTATTATCAAGACTTGTTCATATAAATTAGTTTACTTTTTTATCAATATTACTTGAAATATGAATTTTATAGGGTTTGGCAATTGCATCTGCGCAGACATAATATGCGCATATCTGCGCAGACGTCGGCGCCGACGTCTGCGAAGACAGTTAAAAGGATACGAAAAATTTAAATTATGATAAAAAAATTACTTCAGACATTTGATTCAGATAATTTAGTTATCTGAATCAATTTCCTGAAATAAATTATTTTTTTAAATTTAATTTCAGACAATATTTAATAAAATAATTTCAGACATTTTGAAAAACTCGTAAAAAGTAGGTAATTATCTACTTTTTACGAGTTTTTCTTTACTCGTTTGTTTCTTTTTTGTTCGAGCTACATATAATCAATCGATATAAACTTTTAAAAGTGTTTCTTGCTACAATTAAAAGTGATTTAAAATAAAGAAATCGCGTATTTTCGTCATAACAAATGTTTAAAATGGAAAACATCAAAATTTCGAATTATTTGACAAATCTTGATCGAGGGAAGCGTTCTGGCACTTGTTTAGCATGTAACAAAACTGTTTAATGGTCGAAGAAACGCCTTGCAGCGCATAAAAGATCAACATGTCAAAACGCCAGTGTCGAGGAAAAAAAATTGTTTTCTAAGCGTAATTGATCGTCGCATCTGATCAATGACTCTTAGCAGCTTCCGTCTACGTCTGATTCACCGACGCAGCGTGTACATCCACCGATTAATGAAGAGCTCAAAAATGATATCGACAACGAAGCTTGCAAATTTATTTTACCTTACTGGTATATCATTTTGTTTAGTGAAATCGGAGGTTTAAGGATTTTGTAAAGTCGCTCAATCCATCGTACGCATCTGTAATCCCGAAAGCTAAAGCCTTATCAGGATCTCTGCTCGACAAAAAATACACAAAATTTTCTATTTATGTAAATGAAATTTTGAATTCTGAAAAAAACTTAACACTGATGTTTGACGGCTGGTCAAACATAAGAGACGATCACATAGTGAATTTTTGTATTAAAGCGCCCGAGCAGAAGCCTTTTTTTTACACCTCGATGAATACATCCGGAATCATTCAAAACTCATCTGCAGTTGCTGCAGCAATTTTACAAGTTATTGAGAAGATTGGCTCACAAATATTTACCAGTTTCATAAGCGACAACGTTTCTGTAATGCGCATCAGCGTGGAGGATCATCGAGGAGAAATATCCACACATCTCGGCTAGCGGAAGCAGAGCTCATGGAGTCAACTTGCTTGTGAAGGACATAGTTTCTACAATCAAGGCCACAAAAACAGTCAAAGATGCAGAGAAAATCGTCAAATATGTGAAAAATCATCACATCGTGAAAGCAAAGTTTGATGAAAGACGAATTGCAGCAAATATTTCCCTTTCATTGTCCATGCCATTCTTGAAGAAGGTGCAATTCTCAATGGAATTGAATGTCAAGAAATCACCAAATAGGCGCCAGCATTATATATTTTTATTATTGTAAGAATCTTTGAAAACTCCTATTGTTACTAATCACTGAATTTATAATAAAGTTAAAAGATTACTTAAAACATTTTTTAAGTTTAAAACTTTTTTTGATGATTTCAATAAATCGTCAGTAATAATAATATCTGCGCAGATCTGCGCCGAGAGACGAACCTTAGTATATTTTAGCAGTAATAATAAATTTTGTCGGCGCCGACGTCTGCGCAGACAAATTACAATGTCTGCGCAGATCTGCGCATGTCTGCGCAGATCTGCGCCGACAGTGCGAACCCTAGAATTTTACATTTAAACCACCTATTATTAATTGATCTGCATATAGACACACGGGTGACTGAATATTGTTAAAAATGTCTAGACTTTTTATTAGCTTAAGAATTAACGTTATACAACTCATTTTGAAACTTTTTTTTTTGAATTAAATAAAAATTGCTTTTTAATGAGTACAAAACATATCAATGTACAATTTATGATTGTCATTAACAGAAAATAAAGTGCATATTTAGCATTCTGAACTCAGAATGCAATTTTTTAGGCGCTAATGTATGAAATTAAGAATCAAGTATAAGGAACAGTGAGAGTAATTCATGCCTGAATGAGAATGAAACAATAACACGTATGTTTAGAATGCTATGTGAAAAGTTAGGTATAAATAAATTTAAATAAAAAAAGTTCAGCATTTAACCCTCTACAAACCTCGATCAAAGTAATTTTTGATTTTCTAGTAAATTTAATTTTAAACATACTTTTCAAATTAAATTTACTACAATTACTTCTACAAATGTGCAAATATTTGCATCAAACTTGGGTTTTCAAGCTTAAGCGAAGTAATGAAAAAATAAGAAGAGGTAAAAAAGATACTCCGCATATCCGGTTAAAAATGCTAGATAATTTACTATCCGGTATCCGGTCGGATATATACTATATCCGGTCGGATATACCGGATAATACTTTATGCTGTTAAGTTCTGATGTTATTATAAAGGGCGTTTGAACAAGTCTTTAACTAAAAATTTGATTCCGAACAGCGAACGTTAAATGTTCTAATGATCGCTATTGTAATTACGTATCACTTAATAATCACAATCTTACGATCACTTATGATCTTCACATACTTTCTAACTTTTTGGATATGTTTATTCCAGTATGGCTTTCAGGAAAATGAGAAGCATGTTATACCACATCAAATCTGTCAATCGAACAAAGCCGCTGCGCGGAGAAACGAGTTGAGCGCGGTACTACCAGGGACGTGGTGGGGATCGAACTCGGAACCACTCGTTTATGAAGCGAGCGCTCTACCACTACACCACTACCGCATATTAAATAAGATATAAAAGAACAACCATTGAATACTGAAAGGCTAAAAAACAGTTTGAAAAACATTTTTTAACCGTTGATATGTGACAACTGAAAATCCTAAACCATGGGTGGTAATCTTCATGGTGATAATATCACAATAAAAATACTCATCCATACTCATATGCAAAATACTCATCCATACTCAAATACGTTAGGAAAAAAACTACTTAAATTCTTTAATACCAAAATCACTTAAAACCAAATAACTTGAGCCATAGAGAACTATATCATTGACATTGACAATTTAGATTTTCCTTTATTTATGAACTATGTACTTGACGAGTCATCTACCCTTCATCTTTTAGGATCAAAACAGGATTACTTCCAATCTTTCTTAGAAACCATATATCAAATCCATTGCAAAATTAGCATCTGCTAAGGTTACAACTCTTTATCATGCTCGACACTTTCTTGCTCCGTATTCTATTCTTTATTTCTATAAATCTCAAACCCGTCCTTGTATGGAATACTATTGCCATATCTGTGGCGGATCTTCTAATGATGCCCTTTCTCTTTTAGAAAAGGTGCAAAAATGAATCGTAAACATGCTTGGACCTGCTCTTGCAGCCGACATCCAACCATTATCATATCGTTGTAATGTTGCTTCTCTTTCTCTTTTCTATAAGGACTCTAATGAGCACTGCTCCAAAGAGCTAGTATCGCTTATGCCATCTACTTAAATTCACTCAAGTGTTACTTGTTGTTCAATTAAGTCTTATCCTTTTTTCTGTGAGTATTCCTAAGTCCTTCAAAAACTCTTATTCATCTAGTTTTTTTCCTCGAACATCAGTTCTTTGGAATTCACTTCCTTTATCTTGCTTTCCAGATTCATATATTCAATTCCTTTATCTTGCTTTCCTGATTCATCTTGCAATCTTATAAGTTGTCTGTCAATTGTTATCTCGCTCTATAAACTTCATCTTTTCTCTTTAAGTAACTTCCAACTCTAATAGTGGTTGCTTGCAGCCTTGTTGGAAGCGAAGATGTTGAACCATAAAAAATGAAAACAAATATTTTTTTTTGTTCTTTATTACAATATAATAAAAAACTAAAACAGAAGGTATTAATAAAATATAAAGAATAAGAAATAAAGTATAAAGAGTTTTAATTTTTTTTTTTTTTTTCTTGTTATGTTGTGTACTGCTTACATTTATTAAACTACTGAATCTTCTTAACCGCTTATGTAAACAATCATCTCTATTTCTAAATAAATATATCTGAAATGTCATTAATTTAAAAAAAGAATACAGATAAAAATATCAAATAATTTTCAAAATAAATGATGGCCTTGGTCATAGTCTTTTGCCCAATCAGTCTCATTTGTTGGATATCATTAGAATATTTATATGGATACATTGGAACATTTATACGGATAAAATTGGAACCTTATTTGTCAAATAAAATTATCAAAATCTTATTTATTGAACATTATAAAAATGTATTAGTAATGCTGTACTTCAAAATACACTTCTAGATTATCCAAAAGGTTGTGCAGAAGAAACTAAATAGCCTCACAATGGTGCCGCTGTATATGAAGCCAGATTACCAATTTTTTAATATACATACTTTATAAATATTTTTATTAGTTTTCACCAATTACATTTTCATATGATTATATGTTAATTTATAACAAAAATATAATTACAAAACTAATAAAAAAACAATTACTTTCCAACCTGTAAACCCATAACAAAATTTCTGGTCTTGAAGTTAACAATATTAATAATATAATTGTTTTATAAGTAAAAAATATTTATAAATTAAAGATATGTAATCATTTATATAATAATAAATGTATCATTTTATGATTTTTCAACATTTTTTAAAAAAATATTCTTTTCAAAAGTATGCAACTTTTTTAAGACTTTAAAATAAAGAAAAGTATACAAAATAAACAATAAAGAAAAAAAGAAATGCATACAAAATAAACAATAAAGAAAATAAAGAAAAAAAGAAAAGCATACAAAATGAACAATAAAGAAAAAAAGAAAATAAAGAAGAAAGAAAAGCATACTGGTAATCTTGTTTGAAAAGCTTGAGTAAACTTCATTAATGTAACACTTCTTTCTTTGATAAAACTTTTGAACTCTGTTAGCAATGCTGTAGTTGATCCTGACAACACAACACCATATCCTGTATTTAGGGTGTCAATAAAAGCCACTTTAAGAAGCCTTCTTTCCAGTAGTTTTTGATAATCAAGCAAGTAATAAACATCTATATACACTATATCAATGTTTCCATTTTGTAAATCATCTAACATAACATCAATGGTTTTGTAATAACTCTCTGAACAAAAAAATGGATAGAAAATTTAATATAAGTATCAACTATATTTATCTTGTAACATGTATCTTATTTGTATTTATAGTTATTATAATTATTGTAATAATTAAATAATGATCGTAATGATTATCTTTATTATTGTAATGATTTTGATAAATATTGTATTGACCAGATGACCTGATGAAAAAAGAGACTCAGTATTTCCAATTAAAAAAATGAACATTGTACAAAATTTAAGACAATGTAAAATGGCCTAAACATTATTGGAATTAATGTAACCATTTCCAGTAACTTTAATATTAGTTTTGCCATTAACTAGTTATTATTATCTTTAAAAAAATTCTTGCTGACTCATGCCATTCCATAATCACTAAATTAGCTCACAATAACAGCAGAAATTGAAACAGATTCCCATTTGTTCTTAACACTGCAAAGACCACCAACTTTCAAAAATCTTTTATTCGAAAATCTCTCTGTATTCTTCACGATGGTGTCAGCTACCTTTTCCTCCCACAAAACATTGAGAGCTCCACTACCTTTTCAATACATAATTAATATGTTCTTTTACATGGATATTTAGCAATCTTTAATAGTATTTAATGACAGAAAAAATCATACAATTTTAAATAAAGATTTATATATATATATATATATATATATATATATATATATATATATATATATATATATATATATATAAATATATATATATAAATATATATATACATATATATATATATATATATATATATATATATATATATATATATATATATATATATATATATATATAGGTTTTTATTACAATTGCTTGAAGTATATGTTATATTTGTTCATGAGTATGTATATATATTTATATATATACATATATATATATATATTTACACACATACATTTCATCCGAACAATCTGCTTCATTCAATATCAGTTCTTGTTATGTAAGCACATTTTTTGAATGACAACATAACATGCTTCAACATCACCATCTTTTTTTGATCTATCTAATAGTCTTTATAGTTTAAAATTATGACATTATCTAAGCTCATGATATAGATTGACTGTTTGATTATATTTGATGTTTTTCTTGTCTAAAATTAGCATCACCATTGTTGCTGTGATCACCATATTGTATAACCATCAGATGATATTTTTACTAAACAATAAAGACCATTAATTGGTCAATTGTTTTCTTAAAATCTTTCTTTCACACTGGATTTTATATCCAATTTTTTACATTCATACAATTTTGAATACTATATAATAATAATTATTATATAGTATTCAAAATTGTATGAATATTATGAACTGTAATATCAAGATCTATATAATAATTATATAGATCTTGATATTTTCTCTGCATCTACAGGCCATAAGGATTTTTCATCTACATGAGCCATAATGATCCACTATATGTAAGAGATTTTATACAAACAAATATATTTTTCATGGATTATCAGGTAACATTTTATTCAAACTAAATAACACTAGACGCTATACTATTATATATCTATATATATACCAACATTGAGTATTTGATGACCAGAACTACTGATCTTTGTTTATATCATTTTTCAAAAACTTTTTGTATTGTTCTTTTTGTATCTTTATATGTTTGTGTCTCAAAAACCTTTTTGTATTGTTCCACTCTAATAACTGCACGAAAATTTTATTATATTTAATTTTTAATATATTTCTAGTATCACACCCTTTATTGTTGTACAGAATCACACAATCGAATGCTCATTCCAGTTTGTGTATAAACAGTTTCTCTTTGAGCAATAGATCAGAGTTTTATCTATGTATAGATATTTTATCCATTGTGGATTCTCTAAGGTATGACTTTAGCTAACAGTTTATTAAAAGAAACTTATACAGGACTGACCCTGCTCTTAGACAATCCTTGGTGAGTTGGCAAAAGTTATTGTCAGAGATTCTCTATGCACTGATGCCTAATCCATTGGTGGCTCTTTGATATACAACTGGCACTGCCCATATTATTGTATTATTCCCATATATATATATACTCACTCCTCACACCAGACGTTGATTAGACATTTATACATAGAACAAGCTTCACAACTCTATTTTAAATCTACTTTTTTGATTCTTACTAGACAGATCTATATTTACTATCTGTTTTTTAAGATCACCTCTCTCATATCGACCTAACTGGACTCTATGTGATCATAGTATTGCAGAAACAAAATTATTATATTCTTTGTAACTGGTGAACCATGACTACTTCTAATATACTTCAATATAGACATTAGATGGTCCAGCTGGATGTGGTTATAGAGCTTGAAACCTAATTACTACACCAGACACTCATGCACACATTCATCCAGACACTCAACAATGCTCATCAAATCAGTGCTCACTGACTATCATGCCAAAAAAGCATGGTTTTATCTCTTTCAGCTAAGAGTAAAGACTTGTGATCAATGGTGACTAATGCAGGCATTCAATCAAATTTAGGTCTTACATCTGACGCTGATGTACTAGCTCTAAAACACAAAAAGTTGATGTGTTTAGATTTCTATTCATCTGATTTTAAGGTGGATTAAAACATATCAGATCATACCAGATAACAATACAATACAAACAAATGCACCAGACCATTAAATCTGGGGTTATTAACCATCTATAATATCAATTAATTAGTTTAATAAAATGTTTAGCCTCATATGCCATACTCTTGTTCACTCAGTTATAGCATCAATATATATATATATATATATATATATATATATATATATATATATATATATATATATATATATATATATATATATATATATATATATATATTCAGCCCTGTATCTATCTACCATATGTAAGAAATTACATACACTTATATTTCTCATATCCTACATTTTAATCATATATAATATATATTTAAAACTTTATATTTCTTATATCCTAAGAAATTACATACAAATTAATAAATGCTTTTATTATTGAAATGTTTAACATAAAACCTATACATATATGCCTATACATATATGCTGCTTTACACATATGCATAAATAGACATGACAACAATGACACACAATAACAACACCAAAAAAAGAAAAAAGCTACCATTATGTAATCTTGAATTTCTTTGAACAGCAGTTTTATACTCAAATGAGTTTTGTAAAGCAGCAACCTGCATAAAGATCAATTTTCCAGAATTAAAATAAAAAAAAAAACATTTTAGAAATATTTATATATGCATCAAAAAATATTAAACATTTTTGTACATATATTAAATATAACTAAAAGATTTTCATACTAGTTAATATCTATGTAACTCCTACCTTCACCCTTTTTAAATAAAATTTTTAAACCAACATCAAAGAAATGGGAAAATCAAAAATAAATAGATTTTAGACAATTACCTTTGTATCATACATAATAAAATCAGCTGGCAAAGTAACAGTAGTAATGTTAGTAACTATGAATCCAATAATAATACTGTTAAGACTTAATCCAATCATAAACCAAACTATTGAAACTAATTTTGCAAAAAAAGATCGAGGAGTAAGATCTCCATACCTTAGAATAAATAAAAACTTATAAACTATTAAAAAAATAAACAAATAATAAAAAAAAAATAAAAATAGATAAATAAAAGAGAAAAATTTTGTAGTTAAATTTTTATAATCCATAAATTTAAAAATAAATTTCAAATGAACGCTATTCCACAATTGCAAGTTTATAATATTATATTGTCAAAAATTATTATTTATAAAAATATATACAAATATACATTATTTATAAATATCAATGTAATGGTATTTAATATATTAAACATAAAAGACAGCTAAGTACTAATTTTTTTATTTACAGCTAAGTACTATTTATTTATGTAATATTTCAGTCTGATTAGTTCAGACCACTGTCAGGCATAAAATAAAATACAATAATCATATCACAAAAAACAGATGTAAAAAACTGTTAAATAAACAACAATAAAGTTTAACATTTTGCTGTCTGCACAATCCTATCCAGTTCACGAAATGAGCAAAAAATATGTTAATTATATAAAAAAATATTTATGTATACATGTATGTATATATAAATATATATATATATATATATATATGCATTAAAAATTTAAAACAAATATTAGTTATTAAACAAAATAGTTAAGTACAGAAGCTTACCCTATTGTTGTCATAGTAATAAATGCAAACCAAAAACCACTTAAAATTCCTTTCAAAGCGTTTCCAATTGCAAATTGTTCTGGATTAATAAATTGATCCTAAAAAAAAAGTTGTTTACAAGTAAAAGCAAAAAGCAAATTTATTAAATATATTAAGTATATATATATATATATATATATATGTATATATATATATATATATATATATATATATATATATATATATATATATATATATATATATATATATATATATATATATATATATATATATATATATATATATATATATCAATAATAAAAGTAATTTCTCGGTAGACAGTGCTCAACACAAAAGTAGAGCAAATATGTATTAAATGTTTCAAATCTAATTGTATATATATATATATATATATATATATATATATATATATATATATATATATATATATATAAATATATATATATATATATATATATATATTTATATATATATATATATATATATATATATATATATATATATATATATATATATATATACAATATATAATATATTATATTGTATGATATTTTGTATTTGCAATAAAATACAAAAAACTACGTATAAGAGTGCTCAATAATAAATAAATAGGATTTATTTATATTATTTAATAGAGCATTATATTAATTTATAAAAATAAAGAAAACAACTTTTTATGGTACTAATAGTTTCATGCCTAAAGGCAATCATCAGCCATGTAATACAAAACAAGAAACAAAAAAAAACCGTTAAAATATAAAGTTACAGTGGAGTGTGCTCCGTCGTCAAAACAAAACAAAAACAAAAAGATAAGAAAAAACTAAAAGATAAGAAAAAACTAAAAACGGCTGCCTAATCACCCGTATCAAAATTCGAAATGAGGAATTTGCTTTTATGTCTACATTTAGATACTAATTCATTCCTCTTATTTAATAAGTTATCATAGGTGTACGATATTATGAAATACTTTTCGTATAGACATAAGTTGCATCGTTTTATTGTGGGATTGTAAGATCTACAACGTTTTAAAATTTTCCATTTAATTGTCGGGTTTACTCCATTTTCTTTTAACTTCCATACTTCCTTAGACAACTCAGTATTGTTTTTATATTTTTCGATGTTAAAAGATTTTGTATGATTAGCGTATCTAAGTTTAAAAGCAGTTTCACTTACTCCAAAATACACTTTTTCAATCCCGTCTGGAGTGAATGGATATAGAGTGGCTCGATACACTATGTTATTAACGAGGCACTGTTGATTTAAAGGGTATTAAAAAAGGTATTAAAAACAAGCATTTTTATAAATTTTTAATTTTTGACATTGTTGATTTTTATCCTTCTATCAATGAAAGTCTTTTGAATGATGCCATTAAATTTGCTAAGAATTTTATAACCATTAAAAACGAAGACAAACTAATAATTAAACAAGCTTGAAAATCGTTGTTGTTTAATAATGAGCAACCTTGGATTAAAAAGAACAGCGGTTTGTTTGATGTTGCAATGGGTGCTTTTGACGGCGCAGAAGTATGTGAGCTTGTCGGAATTTTTCTTCTTTTTCAGCTATCCCAGCATTATAACAAGACAGATTTTGGCTTATACCGAGATGATGGGTTAGCGGTTTTTAAAAATGCTAGTGGCCACCTTATGGACACGATAAAAAAACATATTATTCAAATTTTTAAAAATAACAATTTTTCTATCTCTATACAATGTAACATGAAAGTTGTGAACTTCCTTGATGTAACACTTAACCTCAATGATCAATCTTTTAGACCATTTTGTAAACCAATCAATGAACTAAATTATATACATGTTGATTCCAATCACCCTCCTAGCATAATAAAGCAACTTCCTCGTTCTATAGAATTAAGGTTGTGAGCTAATTCATCTAAATGACGCTAGCTTTCGAAGCTCTGCTCATTTGTATCAGGATGCATTAAAAAAGTCTGGTTACAAATTTAAACTTTGTTATATTCCGAAACTCATTCAACTCATACCAAAAAACCGTAAGCGCAATATTATCTGGTTTAACCCCCCATATAGTAAAAATGTTTCTACTAAAATTGGTAAAATCTTTTTGGATTTAATTGACAAGCACTTTCCAGTTGGCCATAAATACCACAAGATTTTTAATAGAAATACTCTAAAGGTGAGTTACAGTTGTATGCCAAACATTAAATCAATCGTTAACTTTCATAACCGTCATATTATGAAAAACATCCCTCCAGAATCAGATAAAAGTTGCAATTGTATTACTAAAAGCAAGTGCCGTTTTTAGTTTTTTCTTATCTTTTTTTTTTTGTTTTGTTTTGACGACGGAGCACATTCCACTGTAACTTTATATTTTAACGGTTTTTTTTGTTTCTTGTTTTGTATTACATGGCTGATGTAACTTTTCTTTTGTAATACATGACTAATAGTTTCATGCCTTTAGGCATGAAACTGTTAGTACCATAAAAAGTTGTTTTCTTTATTTTTATAAATTAATATATATATATATATATATATATATATATATATATATATATATATATTTAGTAGTAAATGATGTTTTACATAGTAGATGTCTGGTAGGTCATTGATGTATATCATAAAAAAAAAGGAGCCTTGAGAAACTTGAGGAACACAAAAATGGATCCTTGAGGAACTTGTTATTTTTTTCCATTCAGATTTTATACATTATTGGGTGTGATATGGATTTACATATTTGGTCAAATTGAGCTGTGAAAACAGGTTATTTTATATATTTGCCAAAAAATCTTATAGGACTTATAGGATTTTAAAACAAACAAACAAAAAATAAAACTTTGATAACTATAAAAATTTTTTAACCTCTTATTATAAATAGAAACCCACATGACATTTCATTGTCTTTGTCTTCAAGATGGTTAACTTATTATATAATAATACTTTTAATAGTTAGAAATGTTAAAACTTAAATAATTAAGCCTAGTTTTAAAACTGTTAAAACCTGCATAACTATAATAACTAAAACTACATTTTATAATATTTTTATTTTATAAACATTTATTATTAATAAAAAATGTAACAGTATTCTACCCAAGCTAAATATTACATATCAAATGGCTCATCTTTCAAGGAAAAAAAATGCTAATGAATCCAGAGATACATTTGTTTTTGTTGCTGTAAAAAACGGACAACTACTCTCTTTGTAATATGCCATCATTGGTGACACTTGTTCAAGACTATGTACACAAAGGATTAAATTTTGATATAAATGCATTTCCCACTAGACTTTGTTGCCACTGCAATAATTCTCTCTATGCCAAAAAGATTATTATATTTTATAAATATTTTATTAATTTATTAAATTTTTTCCAAAGTATTTTACCGAAAATACAAATAACCTTGTTCAAAGCAAGGAAAGCCTATGAAAGTGATTGAAGAGGTTTGGAAAAGTGAAAGAGAGTTACTTATTAATATTGGAAAGGTTACTCCAACTGACAATGCTTATGTCTAAATTGTTGTATGTTATCAGACAAGGTGTCAGACAAGATATCAACCACAAGATTTTTGATTTAAAATATTATATTCTTAAATTAAATGAAAATTTGACTTTGGAACTTAATGTCAAAGAGAATAAACATTCTTAAAATGCTTTTATAATTTATTAACTCAGCTCAAATAATTTTGAAAAAAATATTTGAGCTGAGTTAATAAAAAAAACTCAAAAACTTCTTGGCATATGATTAGGAAATTTTGCTGAATTTTTTATTTAATTTTTACAAGTATTTATAAAGACATTAAATCTCAGAATAAAAAAACATTTTATTATAGAGTTATGGTGGAAAACATGTTACTGTACTGGTACAATTAGCTCATCAGGTGACTTGAGATTACTATCAGTGCCAAGATGCAGGATATCATCATAAGGCTATAAAATTATTCAATAATGTTAAGTCATGTTTTCTTGAGGAAGATCCCAGAATTTAAAAATAGTTATAAAAATAGAAATAAAAAAAATAATAATAATAATAAAATTTATTCTTGATACCATCCTTCCTCTGCAACTTCACATGTATGAGCATGTTGTAACAAAAATTTTTGACATTCTTATTGTCAATGAGAATCTGAAATCCTATTATGACAAAAATACAGTAATGTAGCATGGGTATAATGTTGGCGGATTAGATGGACCCAACAGTTCTCAAACTATTGGATGAAATGATGCTGCTAACAGCAACACAGTTATATCTCTGCATTGAAAATCTGCAAAGGTTTAGAACAGGTAACAATTATACATAAAGATATTTAGAATATTTAAAAACTATTGTAAAGATGCATTTGAAAAACATTATCATTTGGTTGGAAGTTCCTTATTATTAAATATGACCTTGTAAATTTCTTAATAAAAATCAGAAACATCAAACTTTTTTAGAGCAAATATCTAAGACTGTACATAAAAATTTAACAAAAACATTAAAGTGCTATGCTGTTGCAAAGACAAATAAGCCACAACAGCTTCTATCAAAAAAACTGCTTCTACCACTATATATATATATATATATATATATATATATATATATATATATATATATATATATATATATATATATATATATATATATATATATATATATATATATATATCAAAATATCTAATATATTTAGGATCTAACAAAAAACTTAACTTTGAATAAAACTGATCCTGATTTATTCTAAAAATAGCTCAAGCTCATAATAATATTTCTAAAAAATGTATGCAAGAAATATTTGAAAGAATTACCCATTTATATAAAAAAAATGCAATTTAAAAATCATTTAAATTTCTAATAATGCTTATAAAAACATTTGAAAAAAGTGCAGAAAATAAATTATCTTACAGTAAACCAAAAAAATATGCCAAATAGTGAACCAAGCACATAACTGATCAACAAAAATGACCACACATTTAGAACTTTTAAAATCATTTTTGTGAGCATAACATCAGCATTTTGCTCATCACGTTGTACAGCTGCAATTCCTGGTGATTGTATTAAAAGCATAAAGGAAGTATTTGTTGCAACTTCATAGCCATTTCTTCCATATATTGGAAAACTTATATCAATATCATTGCTAATGGATAATTTTAAATCAAACTCTGAATTTTTAACGGGATTACCTCCAAACTTTGTTCTATCAAAGTAAAGTTTAGAAAGTTTACTTGAGTAGCCATTACAAGTACCACATGACTGAACAACCATGTCTTGAAGAAAATTCACAAAATTGCCAGTAACTTTTTTCCCATCAAACAATACAAATGGATCCTTGATAAAAGAGTTAGCAAATAAAACTTCTTTGCATTTGCATGTTCCTATAATTAAGCAACAACTTTTTGATCAAGATTTTAAAAGAACACTTAAAATAAACAGTTTAAAAACTATTAGAATAAAAATTAGAAAAAAATATCTTATATTCATTTAATACTATTTCTATTACGTTTTTACGTTTTTTCTTGAGCTCAATTAGTAATGATTTATGACTTATAAATAATAAAATGCTTAAATCACTAAAACAAAAAACAATTTAAAACAGAAATAGAAAAACAAAAACTCACTAGCTTGAAATTCCTGGGCAGGACTGCTACCAGCAGAAGTAAATCCAATAATACTGAAATTGTATATAGCATAATTAAAAAGATTTGTTTGCTTATAATAATGTGTGAATGGATCAAACTCTATTGTGTATTTTAGTTTTTCTCCAGTGATTTCCTGTCCAGATCTATAATTCATGTAATAAATAAGACGATACCCGAGCAAAACTCCATTAACATTCTCAACTGGAATTGGATCCCATGAAATTGACCACCAATCAGAAGATTGCATGTCTATTATCTGAATATTAGGAACTGGAACAGATGGTGCTAAAACAAAAGGTTAATTTTTTTTAGCAATTCATTTTTCTAAAACTGTTACCAATTCTTTTAATAAAGTAGTCAACTAATTCAACTAGTTGTCTATTTATAATAACCACCTTGGTAAGTTACTTTCTTACCTTGGTGGTACCACCTTGGTAGCAGCTACATATGTATGTAACTATTTACATTACATACATAATTACATTACATACATAATAACATTACATACATAATTACATTACATACATAATTACATATGTATGTAACTATATCTGTTATCTCCTAATGAGATTACAACTCTAAAATAACAAAAAAGAGTTCAACAATTTGAAAGTGACCTGTCTAGAATAGATTAAATCTAGGTGTTATTAGCAAGTAAAAAAACATTTCTTGAGTAAATATAATATGTGGTATATGATGATTTAATATTTATGAACAAGTTTAATTAAATTATGGTACTACATCAATGAATTAGACACAACTTGAAACCATGCAAAAATCGTTTTTTATAACCATTATTTCACCATGTTGTGTACTTAAAGTATACACATCCACTCATGCCTAAATCACTGCCTAAAAAAACATTTGAAACTTATTTTTTTAAATATCAAAATATGGTTTTAGTCCTTCGCGGAAATAAAGCTATTGCAATACCATCTAGTAACCTTAGTTAATTTAATGCAATAATGGCAGAATGTTGGCTTTTATAAGCGAGAGAGAAAGAGTTTAAACCCACCATGTCCTAGGAAGTACTCACTCAACCTGTTCTTCCATGCAGCAACATTATTATTCATGATTTGTATTTTTGGGTTAAGGGGGCACAATAATTGAAAAAAAAAAAAAGTGTAGCCTTCTCTACTATAGTAAACATACTAAGGAAGTTAATTTTTACAGTTATAGCCAAAAAGAACCACTCATAATTACATAGATAATTACTTACATATACAAAATAAGCATGCTAACACAACCATTCATTGTGTGGGTGATTGCTAGAAAATCACCCACTCAACCCATGATTTTTGTGATACCTTATATACTCTTTACATATTTAAATCAAGTATATTTTACCATTATAATCTTATACACAATTATTATATGAGCATTATCTTAAGAGTATGGATGCAATACCACTTGCTAATTGTTCAAAAGTATAATTTTAAATGAACAACAAGTCTGAATAAATAATGGCATAAATGAAGGTAAACTTGAAAATGCCATAAATTACTGTTTATGAAATTATTTATCGCATCTAGTAAACAGATGGCTTTTAAATTGGTAAATGATACAGCTTTCAAAAATGATTTGACCCAGAATTCAAAATAATTATCAATAACTTTGTCGTGATTTTTAATCTAAACAATTTGATAACCACAATGCAAAAACTAACAAAATTAATTAGGGGATTAGCTTTAAAAGCTACATAGAAAATAACATAGGAAAATATAGGGAATTTTGTAGAACAAGTTGGTAGGGCAGTCCATATCAAGTTTAAACTAGAAAAGATATTTTTAAGTCAGATCAGAACATAGCAACTGTAAAGAAAAATTAAAAAAAAAAGTTTTTGATTTTAACACAAAAAAAAAATCAAATAAAAATAATTTTTTTGATTTAAAATATATTAGGGGAAATTCCAAGATTGTTTAGTGTTAGAGAAAGCTTTACAGATATTATATTGAGTTTGTATTAGGTATGGTACAAACTCTACTATTGTGTATTTATGCTGGTCTCAAATAAGGATGGACTACAAAAAATAGTGTTATTAGGAAGTTGGAAACAAAAAAAGTCCAAAAACCAATATACCCTAACAACCTGTGTGTTAAGAATAAAAAATATATATATTTTGTGTTATATCTTAAACAACATAAAGATAACTTAAATAAAACAAATTAAAAATTTTTTTAGGCAACTTAAATTAACATTGATATTTTATATTACCTTAAAAATCAAAAACTTCTAATTTTTTGACTGGAAATGAATTTCAGTAATGCAATTAAATTTGAGAAATCAAGTTTTAACTTCATGAAATAAAAAATGCCTTTGTAATATATAAATTTTATTTTTTAATAAAGTTTTTTTGTCGATTAGAAACATTGCTTTTATCTGTAATAACTGTTTACACTGTCTAAAATAAATTTAATGCCATCCTATTGTTATTTTTAGAATTTTTGCAAAAATGTTAAAAAAAAAGGAAAAACTGCTTGCAATAGACTAGATTTATTACATCAAATTTTTACGACAGACTTTTAAAATGTTTTTAAATAGTAGAAGACTATTTTTATTAATTGTAAAAAAATATTAGAAGACAAAAAGAGGATAAAAAGGCATATCTTACCATCTTCTAAAGTTTTACACATTGAGTAAATTGACGGACCAGCACCAAATAAGTTATAACCATAAACATCCACATAATAAAGAGTAAAAGGTTTTAATGCTTTTAAAATGAATGCATTAAAACCATATTGTGCATCCACCTCTTTTAATGGATCATTCGACCAGTAAACTTTATATCTAATTTTATAGCCAAGTATTTTACCATTGCTATATTGTTCCAAAGTATCTGTCCATTCAACATAAATCTCAGTTGAACTCAATGATCTTGTTGTAGCATTTGCAGGTGGTCTTTCAGGACCTATAAAATTTTTTTGTAATAAACAATATAAAAAAATTACAAGAATATATATATATATATATATATATATATATATATATATATATATATATATATATATATATATATATATATATATATATATAAGAAAATAAGAAATCAAAGGCAATCTTATATATATATATATATATATATATATATATATATATATATATATATATATATATATATATATATATATATATATATATATATATATATATATATATATATATATATATATATAAGAAAATAAGAAATCAAAGGCAATTGGTCAATTTGACTGACTAACACATGGAATCATTGATCAATTGATCTTTTTGAATGGTCAATTATTTTACTTTTCTCTTTGTTTAAATTTTCATCTTAGTAATAGTTCTTCACGACTGTAACATACAAACAAAAATAACTTAATTTCTTGCTAACTAACAAATTTTTTTTTAAATAATAATTTTAAACAAAATCAATCCATTTTTTAAATTTAAACTTGCAAGTAACTAATGTTTCAATTATAAGCTAATATTTATATGCAAGATTTACACAAGGGTGTTCAAAAAAACCTTAGTTCAAAAATGTCAATTTCTTTGGCTATTTTCTAGTGATGGGTAAAAACCCTAAATTTCAAATTTCAGCTTAAAATGTTAATTCTAACTCTTGTACCAAGTCCCTCCAAAAATTTTTTTTTTTTTTTTTTAAGGATTTCAAATATTTTTTATTCTATAACTTTTTGTAAGAAAACAAACAAGTAAACTCAGTTTTAACTTTTATTTTACGCATATTTTCAAAAAAAACAAACAAAGGCCATGATAACAAGTTTAAATGGGAATTAAAACATAAATATTACTGTTTTTTTCATTTTTATTCTCATTTTTTAATACTTTAAAATACATCAAAAGCATATTAAAATTTACGTAAATAGCTGACTTTTGTTTTGATGTTCATTTGTGTTAATTGCTTACTTGAATAACCTATTATGATTTAATAGTGTTTATAAATTGTTAGTGTATACATGTCATAAACTATTTTTGGAAAAACAGTTTATGACATAAAATACACATAAAACTCCCTTAGGATAATTATGTACATGTACATAATTATCAAAAATACATACATAACTCCCTTGCGATAATTATGTACATAATTATTCCTAGGGAATTTTGTTAATTACGAAAAGTTGATTATAAAAATGTAAAATAGTACATTTGAAACAGAGTTCTTTAAAGGCTAGAATAGTTGTCATTTTTACAATATAGTCATTTTTTTTTTAATTATTTTTAAAGATTGAGGTTGTATTTATGTTACTATGAGATATTACAATGCATTTTGTGAAAGTTATAAAGTTAGCTTTTGTTAATATAAGTCAATCAAGTTTGCGTTCAAAATACCAAATATGGTTGTTGGGGAACTGTCTGGAACAACTTCCTTCAAGCCGAATACCGGTTTACTAAGCGTGAGGTGTTGAGATTTTTTTTTTTTAAAGATGGGCCTATGAAACATGATAAGTATTCTATTAGTAATACAGTTATATGTAAGTTAAAAACACAGATGAAAAACAAAGTAAAATAGAAACTTACAAATTAGTATGAATCATACAGAACCTTAACCAAGCATAAAGGTAAAAATGATGAAAAATCACAGATGTTTTTAAATCAACTAGAAGAGTTTTTTTATATTGTACATCAAGAAGCAGCTGATATTGTTAAGTGTGACAAATTAAGGAACACTAAAGAATAACAATAAGACTTTTAAGAGTTTTTAGATGCTTTAAGTATGGTAAAAAAGTCATTTTAAGCTTGTCTTTCTTGTATAATCTTTTGACAAAGATTATACAAGAAAATTGCAAATTATAAAATAAGGAAACAATCAAATGATAAGTGCGTTGAAAAAAAAGTTATAGAGCAATCAACACAAGTAATTTTAGAAGACTCCAAAGAAGATGACAATCTAGATTATACAGATGAATTTCTTCCCCTAAAAAGCCCAAAAAAGAACTGTTTGTAAAATCACTTACTAATCCTTTAAAAGCTAAAGAGGTTTGTCAAATGGGTGACTGCTTGAATCTATTCCTTAATCAAGCAACAGGGATCACAGCTGCAATACTAAAAAGTAGTGGAGTTGATTTAAATACTGTGGCTATTTTGAAAACCATATGTCATCGTTATTGTTAAGAAAATAGGGCCATAATGGAAGATGAAATGAAATTATCATTTGTGGCTCCTGAATTTTGTGTTTTGCACTGGGATGGAAAAGTGATGGAGGACCCTCACAAGAAACGGTCAGATAGACTAGCAATTTTAATTTCAGGAACTCCAGGCTAGGAGCAAGATAAATTGTTAGACATTCCAGAAATAGTGGATAGCACTGGGTCTAGTCGAGCCACAGCTACACTTTCTTTGCAGAGATTTAGCAAATAATATAGTTGGATTGTCTTTGGACACACAATTGCTGCAAACTCAGGGTGGCAGAATGGTGGATGCATAAAAATTGAATCATGATGGATGTCATTGGTGATATATGCTGCTAAAATGTACCTCCTTATAGATTCTATGGGCTATAATGAGGTAATAAAGCGAAGCTTAAAGATATATGTCTTTTTAATGCTCTTGTGTATGTCAAGCACTGGTTAACATGTCCCCTTGGATTTGACACTTCATTTAATGACTTGAAACTTTTCTATGAATTGCAGGAATTTAAAGTCATCAACAAGAAAATATCAGAAAGCACCTCAAGAATATTTAAAAATCATTTTTGGTATTTAACCAAGCAGATTGCAGTTTTTTAATTGTTTTCAAAAATCTTGTCTGACAATGAAAAAAAGAATATTGTTTAGAAACTCATATTCTACCAATGTGGTGATCTGAAAAAAGGTACACCAACCTTTACTGTAATGACAAAAAATACAAAAATTCCATCATTCATTGTCAAAACTCTTGGCTTCCGTTTGAAACCCTTGATGTGACCACTGAGTGGGTGAAAACTCCTGTGCAAACATGGGAGGAGAACAAAGACTATCTTAAGCAATGAACTTTTAAAAAAATATTAGAGTTGTTAATGATGTTGCTGAGAGAGGTGTAAAATTGAAGACTTTTGATTGTCCCTCACAAAAGATGAAAAAAGCAAAGTGTGTTACAAGTAGTTGAAAACCACAGAAGGTGTCTTGCGTGATTTTAGAAAAGAATTTTTTTTTTGAATAATCTTTAAACAAACTTTTACTTTTTCTTAAATTTTAAAGATATTTTTCTTAAATAAATCAATTTTTGCTTTGTGTATTCCTTCATATTCAAGTGTATAATAAGTTAGAAAATGTGTTGTTGTTTTTTCGGAACACCCTAGTACACAGATCTTCATTCGAATCCAAGTAATTTAATGTTAGATTTTTTATTAAATATCAAAACAAAATAAGAAGTACCATTTTTGTGAAGTGCTACTAGATAGGTTGATGTTTAATGATTCTATTAAAATTCAATAATAGAAAAAAAAAAAAGAGCAAATGTGCAATTAATGATTTTAAATTTATTTAAAATAAAATTTATTGCAATGACTTTGCATTGGCAGGATAAAAGCTATTAAAAAATAAGCTACTGCTGAAAGAGAAAATATTCTTAGTTACATATGAAAATTAGTGTTGTGACCAAAACTTAAAATTGTAACTAAACTAAAAAAACTGTAACTAAAATTAGTCGACTAATTTTTTAGTTAACTAAAATTACCAGACTAACTTTTTAGTTAACTAAAATCAGTCGACTAACTTTTTAGTTAACTAAAATCAGTCGACTAACTTTTTATTTAACTAAAATTAGACAACTAACTTTTTAGTTAACTAAAATTATCAGACTAACTTTTTAGCTAACTAAAATTACCCGACTAACTTTTTAGTCTAACTAAAATTAGTCAACTAACTTTTTAGTTTAATAAAATTAACCGACTAAGTTTTTAGTTAACTAAATATACCTGACTTTGCTTTTAGTCTAACTAAAGAAATTTATAAATATATAACATAAATTATTTTTGAATAAGTTTGCTAATGCATAATCATTTTACTGCATAATACCGCAAAAATAAAAAAATTTCAAAATAATTTTCCTTCAATTTTCAATGCCGAAGGTTTAACAAGATACTTCAAGAAAATATTTCATAAAAATCCAAAAAGTAAACATGGTAAAACACAAATATCTTTAGAATTAAATAAGCTACCAAGGCCAGCACAAATGGGTGAGGGGATGGGGTGGTTTGTTTTGTGTGTGACATCCCATCAATGAACTTTTAGCCCATTTAGTGAGCCAATTTGACTCTTTTAGATAAGTATGTCGGCAAATATAGATTTTTAGAACAATCGCTTGGTAAATTTAAAAACATTAAAGAATTTTTTTCCTTTTTTTTAGTCAGCTAAAATTTTAACGACACTCTCTACGTGTTACCTACTTGTGCTGGCCCTGTAAGCTACAGTATATTGCAATAATTCGTTTTTATTTTGTGACACCTTTTTGGATCCAAATTATAAAAGTTTTCAGTTCTTTGAAAAGCACAAGAAAAAAAAAAAAACTTAAAATGCGTTAGAGAATTTTTGTCGGAATTTCATTTGACAAAAAAAGTTAGTGATATGATTCCAGTTAAAAAGGTGACAATCAAATCAAAAAAATTTAAGTTATTATTTGACGATGAAGATGATGATTCCGATAATGATAGTGACACAATAATAAATTTAGATTTAAAAAAAGAAATTAGTGGTTATATAAAATTATCAGTAAATGAGCAAAATGTTTTTATACTTTTGGCATCAAAATCAACATGTGCTTCCAATATTGTATTGTATTTCAACAATGATTTTATGTACGCCTGCTACCAGTGCACCAAGTAAACACCTTTTTTATGACGCATTAAACACTTTGTATGCAAAGCGAAACAGAATGACAACTGAATGTTTTCAAATGTTGATGTTTTTGTACAAAAATTTGGAATTTTTAAATTTAGTTTAAATTCATTAAACTTAATACTGAAGTTTTTTTCTTTTAATAAATATTTTTTAATACATTTTATTGTTCTTAAAGAAATATTATTAAATTTAGTATTCGAACTCTTTTGTGTGAAACTGATTTTTTTTTTGTTACAAAAATGTAAAAAATTAATTTAGTTTTTTAAATTTAAAATGTGTTTAAAAAAATGTTTAAAAAAATATTAAAAAAAAAAGAAAAAATTGAAAATTAAAAAAATTAATGTGTGATTTTAATGTTCTTGAGTATGCGTTTTATTATGTTGCCTAAAACGGCAAATTTTTTTTTTACCTTTATTATTTTAATAGTTTGATTATATTTTTTAAATATTTATTTATATATTTATTAGTATTTTTTTAACATATATCTAATGAAAAAATAAAATAAATATAATAAAAAAATTAATGAATTTTAATTGATAATTGTTTTGACCCTGTTTTACATGTATTTTAAAGTGCTTAAAATATACGTATTGCATTTTTCAAGTAATTAAAATGTCATAAATAACTTCTTGGTTTTAAAAGCGACCACAGTTAAGTATTATTGAATACATTTTATACACTATTCAACAACTTATATTTCAGTATTTTTATATCTTCTTTATTTGGAAGAACTAGAATGCTAAATGTTTCTACTGCATTGTTTCTAATTTTTTTTTTAATTGTATTTTTCAATCTACAATATTTTGTTTTTCTGTTTGTTTGTTTTTTTTTACTTTTTTTGTATTTGGGGTAGTTGTCAATTGTTAGAAGTGGCCGATATTTGAAGGGGCGGGGAAGGGAGTCGTAGATTTGTTGTGAAAATTAGAGATTGAATTCATTCCTATAATATGGCCGGGGACAGGCTGTACTGAACAACGAAGACATAGGAGGGTGGGAGGGGGGGAAGTAGAAATTAAAAAAGCTTTTTTACCATAATAATCTCACCAAAGTACAGCTTTTTTTTTATTTAAAAACCAAATTTCAGTTCTAACCAACTGAGCCACAAATTTTCCAAATTACGGACAAAACCGACAGAATGTTGTAAGCCTAGGAAGGTACCCACACCCCCGTCGGTACGGCCTTGGCAGGGGAGATTATTTTTAATGTGCGAATAATAATGCACATTACCTATAGGATGTAGTACATAAAAAATATAAGTTAAATGTTCAATAAGCGTACCAAATTTGATCTAATTGACTAAAGGGCATTATTTGTACATTCCATGCTTTATAAACAGTTGCAACAACCTCATAGGCAGTTGTCTCCGACCTGGGAAAAAATAAAAGCAATCGAATTTTGCCTAAAACATTCTTTTTGAATAACAGTTTAGTACGACGAGATTCTAGGATTAACAATTAGTAAAGTGTTTAATTACCATATAATAATATCTATCGCCTTAAAAAAGCTTCATCGTGTGTAAAATTTTTATGCAAAAGACTATTTCTTTTTTCAAGTACTAAATCTTGCTTTAGTAACTAAATTTAGTTACACTAAATATTTAGTTGATTAATTTGAGTTAACTAAAAAGTTAGCTGACTAATTTTAGTTAGACTAAAAAGTTAGTCAGGTAATTTTAGTTAACTAAATTTCAGTTAGCTAAAAAAGTTATTAATTTTTGTGCGCAGATATTTTGAAATTGATACTTAATTCTAAAAAAAAAATTGTTATATGAAATACTACTATAAAAAATTACATGCTACATTTGATTTAAAAAAAATTTAATTTCATCTCTAAATCATTCATTCATTTATTAGATTTGCATCAAAAACTTACAAGAAAATAAATAAAAAGATTTAAATAAAATAAAAATAAAAAAGTGATTAAGTACAGTTAAAAAAGTGATTTACGACATTTTTAATGTTTTTAAAAAATTTAAAAAATTCTTATGAAATTTTAGTATATGCATTTTCCAAATTATATCATGATTGTTTGTATGACCTTATTTTTCAAAAATTCTGCTTTTTCCACCTCATCAAACATGACCAGCAAAAATTCATTTTGGGAGGTCAATATAGTAATTTTATTTATTTTGAGCTATATATATATATATATATATATATATATATATATATATATATATATATATAATTTTGGAATAAGTGTAAGAATAATATGTATGTATGTATGTATGTATGAATGTATGTATGTATGTATGTATGTATGTATGTATGTATGTATGTATGTATGTATGTATGTATGTATGTATGTATGTATGTATGTATGTATGTACACACACATCTATTTGTGTATATGTATGCAGCTCTAGTTTAAAATTAAACAATAATAAAAAAAATGTATTTACTTGCTCCTAAAGTCTTCATTCTAAATACACTACTTGGCAAACCATTACCATAAGATGATGCAGTTAACATATATGCTTTGTAAATATGAAAGGGAGCAAGATTCAACAAGATTACACTTTGATCTTCTGAAGATATGCCTTTCCATTCCCAAATCGAGTTTGGATTTGTTATATCTTTGAAATAAATATATAACCAAACTTCTGCATTGCTACAGCTGTCTCGTGACCAAGATATCTGAACATTATATTTATCAAACGATGATACATTGATATTATATGGTGGTGGACAAGGTACTAAATCAGTGACAATATATATATATATATATATATATATATATATATATATATATATATATATATATATATATATATATACTATAATGTATATAGATCAGTAAATGAACCGAAAATAGATCATAAACTAGTTTTGCTAATCTAAATAGCATACAACTTTTTCAGAAGAAAAAACCAGAGAATAGTGAAACTTTTTGTTTTTAAACAATATGAGACTCAAAAGACTGGAATGAAATGCTTGTTTCAAAAAATTAATTTTATTCAATAAAAATAGAAAAATGTTTTTTTTTTTATATTTATAATTTATTTTATAATTAAAAATTAGTTGATAAAACAAAAATGAAAAAACAATTAAAGAAAATAAATTATATAATAAAAAAAGTTTAAAAAAAATATTTTTTATGTTTACATTTTTATTAAAAAAATTTTTAGTCTTTTAAGTTGCATTTTTGTGATTTTAAAAAAATTGATAAAAGTTAATTACTTTTGTCAATTAATTTAATAGTTTTTACATAAAGTTTTACATAAAAAATTGATCTCAATAAAAACTTTTATTTTGTACTTTTACATCAGATGTCTTTATCTCTACTAAAATTTTTGTCCTTTATATAATCACCTTAATTCAGGCAGATATAATTTTTTTTTTTATTATTTTTTTTTTTATTCATATATTTGCCGTACATATAACATTTACAAGTTTCGTAAATTAATATTTACAAGTCTCGTGAGTCAAAATATATATAGTGAAATTTATAATTAAATAGTACAGGCCGGACTTCAAGAAGATCGTAATGATCTTATCACGAAGCCCTTACAATGTGTTTGATATATTATTATGATTATGTTAAATATAATTATATATTAAGTACAACTATGTTTATATATTCTTTAAATTTAGCTCATAATAAAAAATAAACTCAAAATAAGCTCAGTATAAAATATTCAACATAACTAGCAGCATATTAACTAAACTTGATAAGAGAAAATCAAGTGTTTTTTTTGTGTGTAATAAACAATTTTTGATATATTGTTTGAGAAATTTGAGAAAAAAAAAAATTTAAGAAAAAAAAAAAATTCATTTAGATAATACACATAAACGAGTCAGTTCACTTTGTAGTTGATATATATGTATTTTAATTTATAGTCTTAGAAGAATTCTGAGTATCTGTTTAGATTCAATATCAGATTTTTTAACTTTTTTTTCAATAAATTTTGTTTGCAAATTGAATCTAGATTGCAGATTGATTTATTTTTAGTTACTAGTTTGTTGTATAAATAAAGACCCCGATATGAAATTGAGAACTGGGAAAGTTTTGTTTTTTTGAAAGGTGTAATAAAGTTTCTTTTTTCTCTTGTGTTATATTTATTAACGTTATTTATAAAAAAGTTATTTAAAAAATGGTTTGGTACTTGACCTAATTTAAATTTTAGCATAAACAATATATTTTGGTAAATATTAATTTGATAAATATTAAGCACATTCATTTCTTTAAACAAGGGTTCAGTGTGTGTAAATTTGTCTTTATGGTAGATTAGTCTAACAGCATGTTTCTGACGTCGATATAAAGTTTTCAATTTGGTTATATGCGTACTCACCCAAATGCTTTTCTTACTCTCTTCTTCAAATGCTTTTCTTACTCTCTTCACACTACAATATGGACTTCTCATGTGCATTTGGTATTTCTAATTATAGCCATTTCATTTATAGCCTTTTTTTACGGTGGCTTTTAAGTCAAATTTTGAAATTTCAAAAATGTTAGAGTAGGACATTTTTGATTTTCAACTGACAATTTTTGATTTTTGTATTTACACCTAATTAAAACATGTACTACGAATTTTACAACCTACTTAATCATTGACCTACTGTTTTTTTTGACCTAATGAATTTTCAACCTACTGTATTCAATTTTATAACTATGCCTTTCAGGTATGTATTTTGTATATTTTGTTGTTGATTTGAATACTAGCCAAATTTGATCAACCTTTGCACAGTGGTTGAAGGGCTGTTTTTAGAATCAGGAGATATAAGGTTCGATGAATGCTTGGATAATTTATTGATTGTTAGTTTAAAAAAAAAACATTTTGCAGTTTAAAAAAAACCTCCTAAACTGAAAAAACACAGATCATATAATCGGTTGAAAATTAATTTATCTCAAACTGATTAAAAATGAAAATCTATAAAATATGTAGAAAAATAAATCAGTTGAAAACGAAAACGTCATAAAACAGTTGGAAACAAAAAAGACTATAAACAGTTGAAAACAATTTAGGCTTCAATAGGTTATCTGAAAGTTAGTTCCACTTTTTAGTAGATGTTCTTTTTGCAGAACAACTTAGTTAGTCGAGATTTTTGTAGGCCTAACTATCTGACAGGTTTTTTAGCAGAACAACTCTCCTCAAATAATCATGAAAAAAGGTCTGTTGCAAAAGTCCATATCTCTTAAATTACTAAATCTTGTATCAAATATGAGGTTCTAGAGACTTTTAGAAAATCTTTAAC